GGTCCCAGAGTCCTCGACTTGGGCAGGACTTCTTGGTCCCAGAGTCCTCAACTTGGGCAGGACTTCTTGGTCCCAGAGTCCTCGACTTGGGCAGGGCTTCTTGGTCCGAGCCCAACTCCACTCTCCCGCAGCCTCCTGCGAGAACGGCGGCACGGCCGTGGGCGAAGGCTGCGCCTGTCCGCCCGGCTTCAACGGCACCCGCTGCGAGACGGGCGACTCCTCCAAGGCCTGCCAGAAYGGCGGCACCGCCGTGGGCACCAAGTGCTACTGCCCACCGGGCTTCACGGGCGCCTTGTGCCAAGACCCCGACCAAGCCACCGCCTGCCAGAACGGCGCCAYCGCCTTTGGCACGGAGTGCGTGTGCCCACCGGGCTACTGGGGAGCCACCTGCCAACACAAGGAGCAGCCCAGCTCCTGTCTCAACGGCGGCACGCTCCTGGGGACCGGCTGCCGCTGCCCTGTGGGCTTCTGCGGACCCCGGTGTGAGTGTGAGTGCCCAGATGCCCCTCCAACGTCCACTGAGAAGGTCGTCACCCGTGAAGATGCTGCCGCCTCCACGAGCAGCACAACTCTCCATCCATCACCCAACGTGTCCAACATCAATAGCACGGTGCCAACGATGGCGACAACCACGGAAGGAAGCCCGGTCAACACCACAGAGCACGTCACGAGACCCCCAGGGAACGTCTCTACTAGCGCAGTGACAGCTTGGCCCAACAGGACCAGCGAGGCCACCATGGCACCTGGAAACCCCAACACGACGTGCTCTGGAAACCGCACGTCTCTGGGGGGCACCCACAATGGCACAGAGGTGACCCAGCACCCCCTGAACGAGACATTCCCCACCACAACAGCGAGTCCCACCCCTGAGCCCAACCGCACCGTGGGGGTGACCCAGCACCCATTGAACGACACGCTCCCCACCACAGTGACCAGTCCCACCTCTGAGACCAACCGCACCTTGGGGGTGACCCAGCACCCATTGAACAACACTCTCACCACCACGGGGACCAGCCCCACCTCTGAGCCTAACCGCACCATGGAGGTGATCCAACACCCCTTGAATGACACTCTCACCACCACAATGACCAGTCCCACCTCTGAGCCCAACCGCACCGTGGGGGTGACGCAGCATCCTTTGAACAATACGCTCCCCACCACGGTGACCAGTCCCACCTCTCAACCCAACCGCACCGTGGGGGTGACCCAGCACCCATTGAATGACACTCTCACCACCACGGGGACCAGCCTCACCTCTCAACCCAACCGCACCATGGAGGTGACCAAGCACCCCCTGAATGACACTCTCACCACCACGGCGACCAGCCCCACCTCTGCGCCCAACCGCACAGTGGGGATGACCCAGTACCCTCCAAATGGCACATTCTCCACCACTCCAGCAAGATCCACATCCGAGCCCAGCACTGCAGTGAATGCATCTCTGACCACCCTGAAGGTGCCCACCTCACCTCCCAACACCACAACGGTGCCCACCTCATTCAGCAGCACGACCAGCCAGTCTCTCAGCAACTTCTGCTATTACTTCCTGCACTGGTATCTGAACAGTTCCAGCCCCAAACCAGGTGGGTCCCTGGAATGGATGTAGGGAAGGTGTCTCCTTTCTAAGGCTGGAGTGGGCTTAAGATCTCCTGAGGTGAGATGGGACTTGGGATGAGGTTTCCTTCCCAAGGCTGGGATGGACATGAGATCTCCTGCTCTGGGATGKCTGTAGGGATGRGGTCTCCTTYCCAAGGCWGGGATGGACAWGAGATCTCCTGCTCYRGGATGTSTGTRGGGATGRGGTCTCCTTYCCAAGGCWGSGATGGACAWGAGATCTCCTGCTCTRGGATGKSTGTRGGGATGGGGTCTCCTTCCCAAGGCTGGGATGGACATGAGATCTCCTGCTCTGGGATGTGTGTGGGGATGGGGTCTCCTTCCCAAGGCCGGGATGGACACGAGGTTTCCTGTGTTAGGATATGAAGGGGATGGTGGGAGCCAAGCAAGGACGTGGGCCACCTGGGTCTCCTGCGCTGCCCAGAGTGGGCTGGATCAGAGACACCTGGTTGTGCTGCTGGCCCTCAACCCCCTCTTTGTCCCATCTCTCCCAGTTGTCTGCCACAACGGCGGTGTTGTCAACGTAACCGAGTGCCTCTGCCCGCCCGGCTTCTCCGGCGCCTCTTGTGAGACCGTGGAYGACGCCGACCAGTGCCAGAACGGCAGCACAGCTGTGGGCAATAGGTGCATCTGCCCACCGGGGCTGTCTGGGCCTCGCTGCGACACCTATGACAACGACACGGCCTGCCAGAACGGAGCCACGGCCGTGGGCACCGAGTGCTACTGCCCCAGTGGCTACTACGGGCCCCGGTGCGAGTTCTACAACGCGAGCACCACCACTGTCCCAGCCACCAGACCTAAGTCCACCCCCAAGGCACCTGCTGCCACCGTCCAGAGCACCACCGCAACCAGGAGCACCACCAAGAGCACCACCACAACCAGGAGCACCTCCAGAACGACCCCCAAGCCAACTACAAGGAGCACAACTACGGCAAAGAGCACCAAGACCACCACCACCCCCGTCCCTACCACCACAGGTTGGTGAGGGTGCCCCAGGCCGCGTTCGAATCCTCCTGGCATGGTTGCTTCACTTGCAAGACCCACATTTCCCTGCCTGGGACAGCGGGGTGGTCKTTGAGAGGGTGGTTGGGTTCTCAAAGGGCCTTGCACCTCCACAGCCCTACTAGGAAGCCGTGGAAATTGGCTCCTCTCTTCCAAGGCAGCGTCTGCTGCCCCAGAGAGGGACGCGCCAGTGGGGCTGGAGAGGACGGGGCTTCTTAACTTGCTGCTTAACTTACCCCTGCCCTTCCTTCCGCCCCTAAACCAGGGTGCTGCGGTGATGGATGATCTGGGGGCGGATCTGAGGGGCCAGATGTCACGGGGCTGGGATGGGAAGTGGGTGCAGATCCGCTAACTCTTCCACCTTTCTTCTTGCAGATCCCTGCCAAAACCAGGGGGTCTGGACAGCCACAGGTTGCAGCTGCCCGGCCTACTTAGAAGGAGACTACTGCCAGTTCTCGTCACCAACCATCGAGATCACACCAGGTAACCAAAGTCCCTCTGTGYCCTCCTGAGGTCCCCAGGGTGGAGACGCCTTCCTGGGAGGCCCACGGTCGCACAAACCTCCTTCCTTCCCACAAAGAGGCAGGCTCCTTTGTGAGGATGACGGCGCGGGTCACCAACCGCCTCTTCTCCGAGCCTATGAGCCGCTCCTCATCCACCGCCTACCGCGTCTTCGCTGACGAGTTCGAACGGACGGTGAGTCCCTCCCAGGCTGCCCCATGGCAGATGGGGAGGAGACGTCCGCCCCACAGCATAATTCTCCACGGCAGCCCCACAGGCTGGGAGGACTTTGCAGGTCACACATCCCCCCTTTGTCTCCCCAGATGGACCACATCTACCAGAACGTCTCTGACTACCACAGCACCAAGGTCTTGGACCTCAGGTGAGGACGCTGCCCGCCCCGTGGTTGTCCSCACCTTGCTTTGTGGGGGGACACAACCCCCGGCAGATGGGCTGCGCAAGGAGCTGCACACCCCATCGAGACRCTTTCGCTCCCCGTAGGAACGGCAGCGTCGTAGTGAACTACCGAGTCTTGCTGCACCCACCGCCCGAAGCCACCTCCACCTACAACCTCGAGCACAAGTCCCGGGAGCTGCTGGAGACGCTGAAGTCTGTGGCTCAGCCCCAGAACTGCAGCCACACAGCGAGTAGGGGCCTGGGCAGGGCTGAGAGGGTCCCGGAGGGGGTAACGAGGAGGGCAGTAATTGTGGTAGGAGCAGCTCTGCGATTAGGGTCCGATCTTCTCCCCATGACCCGTCTCTCCATCACTGCACAGTGATGGTCTCCAGTGACGTCTTGCTCTTTCCACTTGCAGAAGAGCTCTGTTTCAGCCCTTCTTCGTCTGAAGTCACCCTCATTGAGAAGCAGGAGGTCAACTATACGGGTAAGCGTGGTGCAGCCCACAGACACTATAGGGCGCACGGGTGACGGGCTAGGGCACCTTGTGACGTCGTCTCTCCTCTCCAGAGATGTGCAGGAAGCGGGTGCTGGCCAAATTCAGACAATTTTACTATCCCCACCAAATTGGGAAAAATATCTTCTGCGTCACCAACTGCACCCTCAACGTCCCCGGCACCATCGACTGCAACGGCGGGAACTGCCGGGTGACAGAGAACGGACCTCGCTGCTAGTGGGTGGCTCCAGCCCTCGCCTTGGCCGTAGCCAAAACCTAAACCTCGCCCAATGCTAATCGCACCCAAACCCCAGCCTTATCCCTAACCTTAGCCCTTATCCAAGCTCAGCTCCACCCTGACGCTGATCTTAGCCCTGGTCTGGGTCCTAGTCGTAACTCCAACCTAAACGTAACCTTTATCCAGACCTTCATCCAAGCTCAGTTTTCCTCCTAATAGTGATGTGGTTYCAGGCCAAGCTAACCCTCATCTTAACACCATTCCTAAGCCTGACTTTAACCTAATCTCAGGCACAGCACTAACCTCTTAACCCCAACCTGACCCTTAACCCCCACTCAAACCCTGACCTCAGTCCTAACCCTAACCCCAAACCTGCCTTCAACACGTGGATGTGGGGCCAAGTCTCATGGGTTTTCCACTGGCTCTGAGAAGGTCTCAGGGACCACAGCGGTGGTGGGTGGACAGTGGGTGTCCTAGAGAATGCTGATCCCCAATCCTAGGCCGAATCTTGGGGATYAGGGATCTGGGTCCCCTTCCCACACCATGTCTCTCCCACAGCTGCCCAGGTGTGCCCTGGTACCTGACATCTGGCGACCGCTGCGAGACCCACATCAGCAAGCTGGGCCTGGGGCTGGGTGTGGGGCTGGGCCTGGGTCTCCCCCTCCTCATCCTGCTCCTCCTCTGCCTCGTCCTCTCCACCTGCCTGGCCAGAAGGAAGACACACTTGGGCAAGGACAGGTAAAGGGCTTGAGGGAGGGCAGGGTCCCTGGGGACCTTCTTGGAGGTGAYGAGGGCACCTGGGCTCCTGGGGGCCCGAATGGGAGCTTCATAATGAGCCAAAACCACCTCAAAAAATGCTCTGTGGCCAAAACTTGGCAGCATTGTGTCCCATGAGGGCGGGAGCGTTAAGATCAGCCCCATTGCTGGGATGACAGAGCRCGCAAGTTCCCCTTCTTTCTGGTTTTCTCCCCGTCTTCTGCTCCCTATGGCATCACTGACACTTGTTTGCAGTGAGAGCAGCGACGGGAGCAGCTGGCTGGGCAGCAGGAGCAAGTCCCGTGCCACCGGCATCTACCACGTGAATGGCAGGGGCTCGGCGCCTTGGGAAGGTGAGAGGCCAGGTGAGTGCTGGGTCCCCACAGCGGAACGCTCCAGGGAAACATGAGGCCTTGGGGAAGAAACCTTGGCCCCATGGAGAGCCCCATGGAGAGTCTCATGGAGAGCCCCATGGAGAGCCCCATACAGAGCCCCATGGAGAGCCCTATGGAGAGCCTCATGGAGAGCCCCATGGAGAGCCCCATGGAGATCCTCATGGAGAGCCCCATGGAGAGCCCCATAGAGAACCCCATGGAGAGCCCCATGGAGAGCCCCATGGAGAGCCCTATGGAGAGCCCTATGGAGAGCCCCATGGAGAGCCCTATGGAGAGCCTCATGGAGAGCCCCATGGAGAGCCCCATGGAGATCCTCATGGAGAGCCCCATGGAGAGCCCCATGGAGAGCCTCATGGAGAGCCCCATGGAGAGCCC